TATTGTATTTAGCCACCATACTAGTTGGGGGAGCAGTATTGGGAACTAGGATTTCTCAGACCAGGAATGTCAGTTATATCAGCAACATCAGAATGTCAATACAGCATTTCAGTTCAAGATCAAGAGTCACAAATCAAAATGTCTATTAAGCCTTGGGAAGGGTGAAAGAAATAAACACCAACATTAAACTGCCCAGGTTACAATTTCATTCTGGCAGAAGGCAAGCAACTGTTTACAGTCTCCTTTCATGGCCATCCAAATGGGATGCTATTTCCACAACTACGGGCAGCCAATTCCACAGTTTAACCATTTAACTATTTCTCATAGTCCTTAATCTCCCTGCTTTTAGCTTTACATTTTGTGAAAGCTGGAGAAAAACTCTTTCCCCATTGTTATCTACCATGCATGATTTTTATACCTTGTAACTTAAATTACAGTGGGAGCTAGAACTCAGGAAGTTATCTGCTGAGTTAAAGCTTTTTTTTTTTAAATTCTTTTATTCTTAGATGCCTCCTTCATTTTTCAAATATGTGGGCTAGAAATATTTATCCAGACAATGTATAAAAACTAAATCTCCATGTTTTTCCTCCATTCTGCCCAGAATAACTTCTGTTAAAAAAAAAAAAAAAAAGCTTGCCACAAATGGCTGCCAGTGAAATTCATACAGAGGTACAAAAGAACCTGCTTCCTTTCATTAGTGCTGTTAGAAAAGAGAGTAGGAGAAGGCCCCAACTTTATGACTTTTGGTGGCAACCAAAGGGAATGGAGTTTTTAGGCCAGAGATATAGTACATGACTCACCTGTAGGATGTCCTAATTTCAAACCCAGATTTGCCAAGTATGGATGGATTCTTTTCTGACACCTGTAATGTTTTTGGTAATTAATGTTGGCCTCTTGACTAAATAGACTAATAATGTAATGCAGATTCTTATGTTCTGATAGTCTATAAGGGCTAGTTAAAATCTTGGGCTGTTCCTTTTCTGTTCCTGTGTTAATTAACCTTTGAAAAAAGAAGAGCCCTTGACAGCTGCAACAAAGCCCAGGTGTGTTTATCTTTCCATCAAAGAAGCATACTTGAATCTTTCTTGCTAAGCATGCTTTTAAAAAGTAACTCTTGGCTTAGTCCTAAACATCTTTACTTGGATCTCTTTATAAACTTCCAGTTTTGTAAATAAATATGTTTCCTGATTTCACAGCTCTGTAAAAATATAAATTAAGGTTTAAAATATAATTGGCATTTTTGCAAATACAACTTTTATTTTTAAAAAAATGTTTGTTAGCCTAAAACAAAATTAAGTCTACATATATTGGGATAAAATATATTGATAAATACACACCTTTAGATTAAAATATGTTCAGAAATAAAAGTATATAGGGAAATATATTAAATATATATTTAAATAGTTATGTAAGAATTTTCAGAATTAAGTTGGAATAAACTTATAAATGAGCACATGAAATACAAGTTATTGCCTGGCCCATCCATTCTCACTTGGGAGCAAATTATTGAACAACTGGATTTTTTTCCAAGTAAACTTCTACACATTCAGCTGTACTATGAAACCAGTAGCTGCATTCTCATATTGCATATAAGCATAAAGTAATTAGGGTGAACACATTCTCCTAAATCCTTACATTCAGGAGGATTTTCCTACATACAATCAGAATGGCACTGCCTGCAAGCCACCCATTCTGATTTTCAAAATTCAAGACACTGCTACTTCTAGTATTTTAAGGACTGAAACTAGTGAAGTGGGAATCAACAAGTCTCACACCACACATAGAAAAGCATGGAACAAATATCTCTGACTTGCAAGGCCAAGAAAAGAATGATCAAAAGTGTTGAATTGAAAGGGTGAAAGGAAAAGGCTTAAGATTTAAACCCTGGGGCTCACACAAGTGCACACATGTGCACGCGCACACACACAGTTTTTTCCTATGTTCCATAGTAGGCAGATTTTATACCTACTAGAACTTGTTTATTTATTGCAAGTAAAGCAATTTATTTAGGTCAAGTCTGTGAAATTTCTAGTGTTACCAAATGCGGGGTTGGGCTTCTGGAGAATTAGTATCTATTACTGTGCCTGGTGAAGTCTGACAAGTAGGGAGAATTCTTCTGATCAAGTTAGTAAGTGTGCTAGTAAAATAGTTCATATATCTGAAATACGTTTGCATTCCCTAATCTAGCAATTTTTTTTTTCATATGCAGAGGAAATTAGAAATTTCAGAAATAATTTCATTTGTAAAAAGATGGAAGGCAGCTATGTTCTTTGGTTATTTTGAGTGAACAATGAGCATTAAAATTATGGTTTTGAGTCTGAGCAGAAAATAATTGACATCCATGGATCAATAGATAATGTTACTCAGCACTTCTATTAATGCCATGAAATCAGGACTTAATATGTTGGAAAGTGCCCAGTGACATCTGTCTGATTGGTGGAAGAATCAGTTTGATATATTGTCAGCAGTACAGATACCCTTCAAGATAGGGCAGTTCTGGAAACAGACACAAAAACTCCACAAAAACCTGGAATTCTATTGATATGGGCTATAGCAACAGAATCTTGAAAGACTGACAGCATTTTCCCTTCTCTCCCTCTTTTATCGAAGAGCATCAAAACACAGTCACTTTAAGTTTCTTTCTAACACCTTCCTCCTTTACTGGGCTTAATTCATGTTTTGCTAACTGCCTCTGTTCATTCTTTCTCTGAGGTCATCTCTGTGGTTCTCTACACATGCATAGGAACACCCTTAGATTTTTTGCAGACTCCCAAAACGCTGCATAAGCTTGTCTGAATTTTTGAAGGAATTCACAATAGCTACCTGTATGTGAATTTTGAAGGAATTCACAAAAGTTCCTTTGTTGGCATCAGCAGCTCTGCCATTAGGCAGAATGAGGCAGTTCTCTCAGGTGGCAGACACTGGAAATCAGGAAATGTAATAAAGTGATGGAGGGCATAGTTGTGCATGCCACACAGCTAATCTTGTAGCCATAAGCTAGTATGTGATCCACAATATAAGTAGGATATTATCCTACCTTTAAAACACTACCACCCGAAGTCCGAATGCTAGAGCTTTTTAACTTTCCTTTTAAAGACAGAACCTCAGAATCATTATCTATTTTTTTGGTGATTATGCAGCATACTGGTCTGTTAATATGGATATCTGCTGATTTGTTAATTTTGAGAGATTTTGTAATTTTAAATGGATTTTAAAATAAAATATTCTGTTTTTCATTTCTATTATTAAATGGCAGAATGCTATAGAATGTCTAGTTTGTAGCATTTGCAGCAACTAATATTTCCTAAAATTGCCCAATTTAAATCCTTTTAGAGATTTCATCTTTTTAAGTTGAAGCAGAATTCCCAAAGAATAGTAGGGATTTTCAGCAACTACTGAATTGGCCACACTAGTGAATGTGAACAAAAGTTTCATTGGCTCAATGTTGTAAAAACTATCTTGGGCAGAACTCCATTAATACATAATATGTAATCTACATCATCAGATTTAGACATAGTTAAAAATGAAACAGTGTCAGACTCTGACATAAAAAAAATTTTTTTTTAAATCAATTAAACTAACATGTAAGTCTGAAGTTTTGTGATCTTGTGATTTATCCAGCATGTGGTTAATGAATAGACCTTGGTGAACATGAATAAAGAAAACTATGCATCTCTGGTTTTGCTATCTTAAGTTATAACCACTAATAGGCACCATTCACATGTCTTGAAATATATTTTCTATGGTATTTATAATTTACATTATTATTGTTTAACTTACATTATCTTTTTTATCTTTGCAAGCAATGACCTGTCTCACTGAAGGAAATTATAGAGAAAGCAGAATAGCAGGAACTGTGAATCTGCTTTTCAGTTGCCAGGAATATGGGGAGAAATTTTGTATCTGCATAAATGTTTTAGGGTACAGTGGGGGGGGGGGGGGTTGCATACTTTTTGATGCTTCTGTGACTGCCAATAATACTCATGATAATGGGGATTGAATTTTGGACCCAAACCAATAAATTGCATTAGCCTATTTCACTATATAAAACAAGAAAATATGTGAGACTTCTGGAGAGGCCAAGAGAAGCTAGACATTATTTTTCCAGCAAATTATTATCATTAATTAATGTTGTTGGACACATTGGGAGTTGAAATATATCTTCCACTTAAAAAAAACAGCCTTTCTTCAACCTCTTTAGCATTGGAACGGATATGAAATTTCCAGACTACTTAGGAACCACTTTCAATGAATCACAAGTATAAGCAAATGCAAAAATGGACATCTTTAATTGCTAGGGCATGATCCAGAAAAAGATAGTCTTGTTTAAGACAAAGCATAGATCTGAAAGAGAATGGTGGTGTTAATTGTCAAATAAACTATCAGGCGTAAGAGTATTATCATCATTACTACAGAACTGCAGGGGAAGATTTGAGCCTTAAGCTTCAAGCTTTATCTTACTGGCCAAGTTCACATACATATCAGTGTAACAAATTAGCAATGAGAAAAAATTCATTATAAACATTCATTTTAAGTCTTTCAAGGTATCACCTTGAACCCTGCAATAAGTGTTAAGGTAGCAGTCTACTTTATCTAACTTCTGATAATGACTCAGTAAATCAATTGTCCCCAGCCTGGTAGCTTCCATGTTGCATGTTGGAATTTCAAACCTCCAATAGGATGGCTAAGAGGTATATTTGGTGTGAGTTATGAGAACAGAAAGCCAATATATATGAGGAGTATGGGAAGGTCCCTTCATTTAAAGGCATTAATATTAGAGATTGGCAAAATTGGTTGCTGTGATACTGCTGCTATCTCAAAGAGTTGTTTCAAGCTTAAAAAAAATCATTGAGCTTAGAATATTCATCTGTGGTTGGAAGAGCCTATTTCAACTTCAAAACAGTTATTCTGAATTAAGAACCTTTTATACTCTGCTTATTAAGAGTACAGGATGCTTTATTATAATCAAATATGAAAGAACATTTCCTTTCCTGTTTCAGGGAAGAGCTTCACATTGACTATCACAGTCTTCACAAATCCTCCACAAGTAGCCACGTACCACAGAGCTATCAAGATAACAGTGGATGGACCTCGAGAACCAAGAAGTAAGTATCCAGAGAACATTGTTGTCCTATTCAGAGAGCCAGTTTGGTCTAGTGGTTAAGACATCAGGCTAGAAAGCAGAAGATGGTGAGTTCTAGTCCTGCCTTAAGCATGAAAGCCAGCTTGGTGAATTTGGGCCAGTCGCTGTCTCTCAGCCCACAATATCAGGCTTGGGTGACAAGCTGGTCAGCCAATTCCTGTTGCAACCAACGGATCAACATTCAGTTGATCTGGAAAAAAAATAGTGTGCCCTGCACCTGTGGGAAAAAGCTAGGAAGAAAAAAAAAACACAGTTGCCCTCTTCAGTTACTCAAGCTTCATACAGTGATGGGAAGATAGAGGTGAGCCTGTTGGTCCTGGACTTTCCATTTTCTGTCCATTATCAGCCTTTTTGCCTCTCACATACAGTCAGGTCCAG